TCCCTGATGTTTGAGATCAAAGCTTAAAAAAAAATCTAAAATGTGAGACCACCAAGGCAGAGCTGGAAGCATGGAAGTCGTGGGAGCTCCCATTCTGAGCAGCAGCAGCAGCTCTGCCCTCATATCTCAGGTTGTCCCCATCCTGTAGTTTAAATGTCCCTCTCCATTTGGTGTTGAAGTTTTCCTAAGAGAAAACACACTTAGGAGGGGGTTTGTCCTGCAGAAAGTTTTGAAAATCACAGAATCACAGAATGATTTGGGTTGGAAGGGACCTTTAAGATCATCCTGATCCACCCACCTGCCATGRGSAGGGACATCTTCCCAGACCAGGGTGCTCCAAACCCCATCCARCCTGGCCTTGGCCACTTCCAGSGGTGGGACACCACAGCTTCTCTGAGCACCCTTTGTCACCTCACCACCCCCAAAGGGAAGAATTTCTTCCTGGTATCTARTAATTTTTTCTTACATTTCTTTCATGAGTTTCAGTTAGAAACGCTGTAAAAAGTACCAAATGCATTTTTATGGCAATTTTATACAAAATTGACTATATTGTGCTTCATTAAAATGAGCATTTAGAGTAACCCACTTTCCTGGAATCCAGCAAATGCTTATGCTAAATGTAGYGATCTTTTCCTAGCAGTAAAAAAAAGGATATATTCTTGAAAGGACATGTAAGTCACATTCCTTTATTTGACAGATGCTTATCATCAACAAATCACAGGAATTCTTCCACAGCCCTCAGTAAAAGGCCTGCCTACTAAGTCATTGAACTCTGTAGCTTTTCTGAGCTGCTGTGCAGAAATCCATTACGTCTCMAAACAAGCCACCCACAAGATGGAATAAGTGCATGATGGTAAATGCATGTTTACCTCAACAGAGTAATTTAACTTCACACTATTCTAGCAGCAAGAATTAAAAAGGACCAGATTTATAAGGGCTTTTAACCTCACGTTGTGGGAACTAACACAAAGAGTACGTAACTCTTTAAAACTCTGCCTTCAGGGTGTAGTGGTTGGGTTTCTCTTTCATGATCAGATTTATATCTTGGAAGCACTTTGGTRTTTCAGACTCTAGTACTGGATGTTAAAATGCAAGGTTATTTTCATGGTTTAACCCCAGCCAGCAGCTCCACCCCTTCACTCACTGCTCCCCATGGAATGTGGGGGRGAGTTGGAAGGGTAAAAGTTAGAAAACTGGTGGCTTGAGATAATGAAAAGTGGTGGCTTGAAATAATGAAAGGTTAGTAGATAAAGTGAAAATTATGCACACAAGCAAAACAAAATAACTTTCATTCCCCACTTCCCTACYACTGGGAAGAAAATTAAACTTAGCCACATCAGCACATGTTTATTGTTATTATTATTATTATTGTTACTACTACTGCTACTCGTACTACTACTGCTACAGCTATTAGAAATTTTTGGACCCAGTTCCCTGCTGCATTTCATTCGAACTAATGCAAAACAAATTTTTTTTAAAGGTTTTAAAAATAGAGACCACCCTTTTCAGTCTCGTGCATGAGTGTGCAGGACAGGTGGTGCAGAAAATAAAACCTTGGTTTGTTCCACAAGTCAGCAGCTGCAGTAGAACATGGTGATCCACATTTGTCCCTGAAAGCACTTAAAGGCATYGACCCAGGAATAATTTAGGAGTTGAAGATTCACCAGAGCTAATGCTGTTCATCATGTGTTTAAAAAGGCAGGGGTRTCTATCCCATAGTAAAGATTGCAGTTGGTTAACTTTGTGTGCAGGTAGAAGTGTCGATGCTTTCACGCGTGATTGCTTTGTGGTATGTGTGTAATTCTGGGCAAAATATTTCCTGCCTGAGGCTCAAAGTAATGTTCTTATACAAAAATTAAGAATAATATCAGATTCTGACACTAATAGTAATATTGATTGATTGCTACTGAATTTGCTTCCATGTGAGTTATGTTGTCATGTGAGAATAGCTCAGAATCTCTGATGTGTTTATGTCCATAATGCTTGCTGGTGGAGGTGCAGGGTCATTCCTCTCTTCTCACAGTTGGGTTGGGGGCATAGGGATGGWAAAGAGCCTCGTCCAAGGTCACATGGGCCATTTTGGAGAATCTGAAGCCACAGCCTATCTATTGAACCAGATTTCCTCTGTGGATCTCAGCTCCTGCATTTGCTKCTCTGTTGTGTAAAATGTTCTGTGAGGAACTCAGTTCCAATTTGGTTGTACAGCCTGGTCAGTGCTTCTCCAAATTCCACTGGGGAGGATTCCAGGTGGCTGCAGCTGGGGAAGGAATGGACATGGAGGTGGCCTTGCTGTGAGGACCACGGGGAACTCACCCCATAGCAAAATCTAACTGCAACCCTTGAAAGTTAYAGTAAAAATTAGAAAAAAAAAAACCAAATTAGAACTAACACCATTATTTTCCACAAATTTTGGGTGAGTTTTTGTGTAAGTGAAAAAGAGAATAGTGGAAAAGCACTGGGATCAGTTGCTYTTCCAAATGTGGTTTCCTCTGCTGCCTTGCAGCTTGAAAGGCAGGAGGGAGCACAGTGGGGTAAATCCCTCTGCAGGAATGCTTCCACACTKAACCTGGAAGCTGTGTCCTCCCCCTGCTCTCCTCCACAGCCCTGTCCTGCAGATATTACTGCAAAAGGAGGATGTAACCTGGCCTATTAATCTTGGTTCTTCACAGGGTTTTCCTGAGTAACCTCAAAGTCTCTGAGTTTATTAAGAACATKAAATGTTTCACCTAAAAAGGCACAAATATGGGAGGATCTGATACACCAAAAGAAATACTCATTCCATAGTGCTAATAGTTACATGATTCATCTTAGCATAGAGTAGCAGATTGTTTCCTGCATGTTTTACTTTTTGCAGTTAGCTGGTTACAACCAAAACTSTTCACTAGTTTGTTTTGTGTTTTTGCAGGGCAGAAACTACTGGATACCTTAGCTGAAACCTGGGATTTTTTCTTCAGTGATGTCCTGCCCATGCTGCAGGCTATTTTCTATCCTGTGCAGGTGAAAAAATTACTCCATTACCATAGAATCTTGAAAAACTGGAAAAAGCAACTTTACTGGTTCATCAGCAGATTGATGCAATCCTTAATTTTCTGTCCTTGGGCCAASCTCCCAGTGCAGCTGTACAATCATGTCATGCAAATGAGTTACTTATGCAAATGGTTTGAAGTGCTTGGGTGGAAAAGATGAAGGGGAACTTTGAAAACAAAAATGGACTGCAGGGAAGCTGGYTAGTCCTTCTGCCAATCACACTAAAAGTCAAAAAAAGGTTATGAATGATAAACTGAAATGTTGCACCATGAAGTGAGTGGAGCTGTTGGTTTAAATATATGCATTTCCTTCTCTGCAATGTGAACTTTGTCTTTGAAGTATCTCCATTTTYGAAAAGGAAGGTATGAAGTCTGAATTTAGAGGGAAAGCTGCTATTTCACCCTGGATTTTATTCTGAAAGGGAGGAGCTCAGGAAACATGCTAGGCTACTTCACCCATGGACTGGCATCTTACCGGTAGAAATTGTAAAACAATAGAAATAAAATGCTATTAAAAAGATGCTAGAACACAATGGAAGATTGTTTGAAGTGCCCTGTAATTTAAATCAAAGATATTTTGGACATGTGGAGATTGCACCAAACATCCCTATTCTCTGTTGTGTTTCTGAGGCCTTTGAAAATAGTTTWGTAACACAATTCTTCTCCCTTATCAGATGGAAATCATTACTTCAATTTCCAGAGGAACCTTGAGGGTTTAAGRGTAACGTGGGTTTAAGTCCTGTCTAAATACAAATAGATTTAGTTGCTGATTTTCTGAATTACTTCCAGAAACCCAACTGGTGCTTATGTGTTTTTGTAAATTCTATTAATTAGCAACTGAAGCAGATTTRGGACCTTCTTTATTTCAATTTAAAAAGTGAAAAGGAATGGATAGGGTTGGGTCAGGCTTCTTTATTCCAGCCTTAAGTCAACACCAGTTGAATACCAAACCTTCCATGTGTACAGCCATGGATACCCAAGGGAAAACTCCTTACAACTCGATATAAGGGAAGTTCCTTTAATCTCTGCAGATAGAACTGGAGTTATATTCTTCACCTGGGAGAATGGCTTTGGAAAAAAAATTCAAAACAGATGGCTTTGGAAATGTGATATGAAACTTCAGCTCTGCTCTTGCCTTAGAGTAAAGTCTCTCAAATTGCAGAGAAAAGAGGGTCCATAGGTGGGCTGAGTCCAGATTCCTGCCAAATTTGAGGACAGTAAYGAGCAAGTACTCAAAATCTTACAGAATAATGGAAATTCAACCAATGTGAAGCCCTATTTTTTTTAAACTTATGATACATTTAATTTGTGATGTACTGTTAAAATGCCAAATACTCATATATTATCAGGCTCTCATCCAACCCCAACCCTTCATCTCTCCACACGCAGTCAGACTCAGTCACTGTAAAGTTCATTGCTGCCAAATCAAATTTATTGTGGGGTTGCTCTCTGTCCTTTATTATGTTTCCTTAGGTTTACCATTCTTGTAATCCCTCAGAAGGGGGAGAAGGAATTTGAACACAGGATTTTGAAACTCATTTTCTCACTGCTCATAATCTATCTTGCTTTCTTTCTGTTTCCAAGGGAAAGGAGCCCTCGGTTCGACAATTGGCGCTTCTGCATTTTAGGAACATAATTACCCTCAATATAAAATTGGAAGATGCATTATCCCGTTCCAGAGCTAGAGTTCCACCATCTATTATTCAGATGCTGTTAATACTTCAGGTAAATTGGTTAATTGTCTCAGCCTGTCTTTTYGTACTGCATTGCTGAAGTCTTACACAGTTTCTGATTTTGCTTGTTCACTGGAAACTTCTTACCCAGAATGTCAGAGCTTCTATGCTCCTGTGGTCATAACATCTAAATCCTAATATTCTAGTATCTAAATATACTAGTGTGTCTAAAAAAAATCTGCATACCTAATATCTAGATTATCCAACAGTATAATAATAGTAATATACCCTATACAGTATAATAATAGAATATATAAGAATAAACAATGTGACATATAATGTTAAAATAATATAATAAATATAATGTAATAATTAAACTATCTAATGTCTAAATATCCTGATATCTAAGAGCAGGAATTGTARAGATGCTGTGCAATCCAGAGGATGTGAGAGTACAGACTTGCTTTGAAGTAAGGCCTTGAAACACAAAATGCTGCAAGCTGGCAAGTGCTTGATGATAACATGATTTCCATTAATGCTGTTTCACTGCATTAGCAGTTCAGGGTGTGAAGCTTCACATATGGGATAGGGAGCAGAGTGAATATGCAATTTATGGTTGAACCATGGTCATACTTGGTCACTGAAATAATCAAATACTGTGATACAAAAACATTAGGACCACAGGTATTTGCCTTCTCTGTTAGTTTTTTTTTTCTTTGTGTTTGTGTGTGTAGTCACAGGAGAAACAAAATGAGGAATATCAGGCAAAAGGCAATTTAAAGATTTTTTAAATTTGGTTAAATAAAGAAAAGCATGTGGTATGATGAGAAAGGAAATGAGAYGGAAGAGAAGGAATGAACAAGGAGTGGATTCTGAAAGGGTGAAGAAATTGAGATTTTTGTGGCTTCTGATTCTTTTACAAACATGTTCCTTTGCTCTTCATCACAGTGTGAATTAGTTCTGTATCTGAAATGGTTTTGAAGAGCAGGATTCACCTCTCAGTGAATCAGTGAAATCTCAGCTATCTCAGTGTCCATTTGTTGGAGTGTTAATGGTGTGTTTAATGTGATTGTCTTGGGAAAAGATCCTTATTTTATAGAAATGTCTGCTTGGTCTTGTCTTCCTTCTCACAGCCCCTGCCTTCTGAAAGCTTCTTGAAACTGCTGGGTGACTGTGACCCAGTGACAACAATATGGGAGTTTTATAGAAACTGGAGAGAGGAGAGGAGCCTCAGGGAAAAGCTGGAGAATCAAGGGAACCTGGGTGCRTTAGCAGACACCAGACTCCACATGAGACAGTGCCATTGCTAAAACTTTATTCACAGGAAGGTTCCCTCTCAGGCCTCAGCCCTTTCTTGGGTGTAAACTGCCCATYCTCAATCAGCCTCCAGCAGCATTGTTGCTAACAGGTCTGCAAGCTTTTTATGATTATTTTGGGGAGTCTGTTGGCTGTGGGCAGGATCTGGCTTGGAATGGATTCTGTGGTGAGCTGGGAACTGAGTTAAATCTGATTTTTTCTTTGCAAATCTGCTTTCTTCAGCAACCCAAAGCATTAACAYGGTGGATGCCCACATAGGGCAAAGGGTCAAATCCATTCTCCTTGCAAAGCTGTTGATGGAAATCAATAACCAAGTGAGAGGGAATTTGCCCATGGKTCTTTATTTCTGCATACTTTGCCACTTTGGTTGTGTGGCAGGGATGATGAAAGTCTATTCTTGGCAGTAGCTTTGCCAGACTCGTGGTTTAAAATCTAATAGAAATTGTGGGAAAAGGTCAGAAGATCTGGGAATTTGCTATTTGCATACCTAGCAGTGTTAGTCAGTAGCTGGAATTCAGAGCAAAAACTTTTCTGAACTTGAATGTCATGTTAAAAGTAAATTTTATACATTTATAACGTAATGAAATTTTCTCAGTTTAATTGAGCTCCATGTGTTAATAGGGCTGGAAGAGAGCTAACAATTCAGCTGTCCAATGAGCATACAAAGATCTTGTAGGCTTTGATTTCCCAGACTGAGAGATGATGTCTTGATGGGGATGTTGTCTAATCCATATTTGTGCCCTCCATGAATATCTCTCCCATAAGAAACTTGGTGGCACTGGAGCAGACTCCCATGGACAGAAGATGATGCTGATGATGTTGGCTCTGGACCAAGTGTTGCACTTAGTGCTAGGATTCTGTGTTTCTGTCCTTAACAGCCTCATGCAGCTGTGTGATGTAGTGAAGGAATAGCTCATGTTCTTTAAAATAGCAGCTGTAATGTCAGAGGTTGAAATSCTCCACTCTGTTTTGTTAGACTGGATTAAAGTGGCAGAGCTTTGGGAACTAATGGAGGGTGCATCTGGTGTTAKGTTTCAGCTTGGTACAGGGGAAAAGCTCTTACTTTGTCAGGAGAAGACTCTTTCCTTATTGGACAAAAAGGGAATTTTTTAAAGAGGGAATGGAACTGCTCCATTTAAAGGAGCAGAAATCTGTCCTCGGGTTAATTATTAGACTTGGGTTCTTCAGTTCAGTAGAGCTGTTCTCACCAGTGCTATAACCTGGTGTAATTACAAACCAGCAATCTTTCAGGAAAGAGAGAAGTCTGGGAGGAATGATATTCCTGTTCTGTCAGTCAGGACAGAAGTAGTTTTATTACAGCTTGGAAGAAGGGCCTTATATCACTCAAGCTGTGAGTTGCCAGCATAGCCTGACTCAATTACAAAGCACAAACTGAAATGTTAATCCTTTGTGGCTGCTCACAGGCAACATAAGCTCAAGTGCCTCCAGGATGCTCCTGTTTGAATTGCAGGGAGCTCAAAAGCAGAGTCGTGGCAGAGGGAAGTAAAAAACTAAAACTGCTTTTCATCAGAGAATGATGCACAKAATGATGCACAGGAGCTCAATGGTGTTAGTTCTAATTTGTACTAATTTTGGGTGAAATGAGGGTACTGGAGGGAGAGGGCTRAACAGAGGAAGGGTTTAGGAAAGAACTTTCTGAACCAAAGAGAGCAAAACTCCCACAATCTGACTTGCTTCCCAAAGTATGTTGTCAAAGATTACTCTGACAGCTGAAACTGGAATGTCTTATCTCCAGGTATCTCTCCTGAGGGCTGAGAAAGCTGGAAAAGAATAATTAAAGTGTATTCATTCATCTGTGTCTTTCAGCTAACTTCGRGATTATTTGAGTTCACAGAATCTCTCGGGGTAATCTGACATATGTAAAAAATTGAGAACTGCCTAAGACAGTATCTCTTGTTCTGAAGGAAGAGGCCTCACAAAACAKAACATAATATCTCTCTGCTGGGGGATGAGGCCTCACTAAATATAAGCTCTGAAGAGAAAAATAAAACCTGTGGTTTCCTCTTTGGCTCTCTATGTCTCACTTGAACTACCTTGCCCAATGTCTCTGTAAAGGAAGACAAAAWGAATATATAAAGCTGCCCAGCATGACCTTTTTGTTATTTCTGCAAAGTTTTTTCCATTTTAAAGGAGTGGAAAAGTACGTTGCAAGATATGAAAGTGAATTGCAGAGAGTGCTGTTTTTCCATCTGAGCAGCCACACATCAAACCAAGGATTGCATAGTGATTAAAAACAAAATAGCTGCAGCTATAAATGTGCTGGAACACTGCAATGCCAGTTGCAGTCAATTCTTCATGGTCATAGGTTTTCACAAGTGATGGTTRCTTTTGGGAGGTTTTCTTACTAAGTCTCTTAGACCTGAAGCTCAGGTTGAACAAAATSATGTGGGTGTGAGGTTTCCACATGCTTTTAATTTCTCTTTACCTTTGGCTGAGTTCCTGCCTTAGAAGGCACAAAAAGAGGAAACCAATAAATAAATGTATTGTAGACCTTGTTTAAATATAAATCACTGCATCAAAAACTTGTGCCTCTTCTGGGTTGTGCATAAATTTGGATTTTTTTCTTCCTTCCTGGTGGAAGGGTGGTTTGTCTCTCTTGTTTGCATCAGCCCCRTAAGGAGTCAGGTAAGAAATCTTTCAGCCAGAATGCAAAGGGAAGAGCCCTCCGTTGCTTTGTGTTCACACTTGCAAAATTGAGAATCTGGCCCTCAAAAATCACATTTCAGAGTATTTTGTAGTTACATTTGTTTCCATGCATTATTCTCTCTTATTCTAGTTTATTTATTGTCTGTATCAGCAAGTGCAATTTGCAATGATTAAATTGACACAGATTTGTTATCCTGGAATGAATTTGAATTGCTGAGATTTTAAACAAGGCATAGCATTCATTTATTATAGAAAARAGATGTTTTTAAATTAAAATCTTAATATTTTTGCTGGTGAGGAGTACTTGTCACATTTGATTTTGATTTTTTTTTCAAATTGTTGTGTCTTTAGGGGCAGAGGTTTGTTATTCCTAACCATTCCTGATTGGCAAGGGCTTGTTCAACAGTAATTCCAATGCAGCTTGTGCACCACAGACTTGATAATTCTGTGCTCATGTGGACCCTCTTTGTAACTGAGGACAATGGRGGTCCAGTGCCACATAAAAAGAAGGAAATTTGTTTTTAAATTAAATGCTAATTCTCAATATATTTGACAAAACCGTGTGTTGTCACTTCTGTAAACTTAAGCAGTGAAAAAAGAGGAAAGCAACTTAAAATTGTATAGTTTTCTTTTATTAGATGTRAACCTGTCTCATGAACACCATGTCACAGTAATTTAAATGTTCATCTTGTCCCTCATCTTTAACAGAAGGTGGTTTTTGGGAGCACAACCATAACTTTGTCSGTACCAATCAAACACAATGGTTTTTGAAGGCAGTTTGCATTGTGCAGACACCCTTTGGAGTATTACACTCACGGTGCATTTTAAGAGTACCTCACATTAAGTAAAGTGTCAGTTCTTTGAAGGATACCAATTACTTAACCAAGGGTATGGCTTCAGGAGGTGTTGTTTAAACTAAAATWAATGTCTCCTGGACTTTGCCTCTACTGATGAAACTGGTCCATTAAAAACAGTTCAAGTACCTTGGCAGGCAATCCTTAATCCTTACCAAAATAGAATGAAATCAGTCAAATTATTCTTAACTTGAATTAGCATGTCCTTGCAGAC